TAACCATACGATAAGCTCAATTTGTGCGCAGCTTTAGTGGCGCATTAGCCATACATAAAGCAAAGATAGCCGCCAAATAAGCTGACTATGTGTGTGTGTGTTTCTGTGTGTGTGTGTTTGTGCGTGCGTTGATGTGTGCCTCACTTCCGCATGTAATTGTAGTTACAATGTCACAATCACTAGACCATATAAACGCAAGCAAACAAGGCTGCACAGCAAGTGGCGGAGACAGCACACACAGAGGGGGCGTAAACAGCACACACACACACACTTATGCATATGGCGCTCGTCCTGCTGCTGCTGTTGCTGGCTTTTGAGTGCGCCTTTAAGTGGGCACTACTCGCCCACTTGGGCGCTTTATTAGCAAAGTGAAACTTAGACAATGCCTGGCTGTCTCACAGCTCTCGCCCACACACACACACACACACACTCTAGCACACACACTCTCGCAACGGCTCTGCCACAGCATTGCCTTGGCAATATTTACAAGTCACTTGTTTTTATGCCTACATTAATTATGCGCGCTTCTGCCTTTTGCCTTGGTTTTTCGGGCAACTTTCTCATGGCTTGACTTTGATTTTGATGCCATTGCCACAATTCCTGGCAGGCTTTGGCTTTTGGTTGCGCTCTGCTCTGTGCTCTGCTCTGGTTTTGTGGTTCTGCTGCTGCTGCTGGTTCTAGCTATGTTTGTGTGTGCTTTGGCGCTTGGTTGTCAACACGGCTCCACTCACACTTGATCTGGTCATATTTTTTCTTACTTTAAAGCCCTGGCTTGAGGATTCTTCAATAAATTTTGGCACTCATGTCTGTGGTATGTGCCGGTGGCAACTCGGCAACTCGGCAACCGGCAACTTAATTGGATGCCGTTCAAGTTGCTGTTGCAGTTATCTACTCTCTCTCCGCCCTCCTCTGTGCCTCTACCACTCAACCTCTCTGCTGCTGTGGTCATAAATGTCAGCCAGGTCGAGCTGCATTAACTGACCCAGTTGAGCTCTATCCTATGGCTTGGCCCCTGCCCCTCCGCCTCCGCCTCCGCCTCCTCCTCGCCCCCATTTCGTGTCCACGAGTGCCTTTTAATGGGATTATTGCGCAGTGAAACGTATAATGCGTCAGCCTCGACACTCTCTGCGTTTTGCAGCTGCTTTGAGCTCTTGGCAAGAAGTTGCAGTTTCTGCAGCTGCTGCTATCTCGGCCCGGTTTGTGTGTGTGTGTGTGTGTGTACTTTTTGGCAGACGCTGCGTATGCGTGATGCGTGTGTCCCATACATATATGTATGAAAAGCTCTCGCACTGCTTACAGATTCCTTTTGGCAACCGCTATCCATTTATACATACATACATTATTAAGTCTTAATATAAATCTGTATTTATTGCATTACTGCACTGGCCCTTAAAATCTGGCTTGGAAATATGCAGCAACTGTCTGCTATACATTATGGGAGAGCTTTGGGTGCATTCAAATAATATTATATTATTATGCTGCATGCCTGAAATTGATTTACCAGCTGTGGGTCGCCTCGGCCAGCTCTGCTTATTGTTGACATAGTTAAATTGATTCAATTCCAGGCATTATCCAAGAATTTTCATTTGCCCTCCGCTCGCCGCCAACTCTTGACGAATCACGCAAATCACTCCGTACTTTTCCATGCTTCATTGCGTTTTTCTGCTCATCCACTTTCCACTTTCCATTTGCCATTTACATTTTCACCGTCATGCGCCATTAGGAATTTTTTGTTCCGCATTTTCTCCAACTGCATTCAAATCAAGCAGCAAGAAAATGCAGCCACAGTAGCTCGAATATTTAAATTGAAATTGCTATTTTTATTTTTTTAATTTTTATTAAATTCTTCAGTTTAATGCGTTTTTTATTTGGTTTCATTTGTTTTTATACTTTTTACAATTTGCTTCATTCATAATCGTTTTTTATCATTTAACTTAGAAAATTAATATATTTATATATTAGCTTAATTTATGTTAGTTGTGTGTGTGTGTGTGTGTGTAGGTGTCTGTGTCTCCGTGTGTGTATTGTTGTTTATAGTGTTCTCTCTCAATTATTAATGCTCATTGTTGTTTAAGTGTTTTGTTGTCGCATTTATGGCGCTTCATATATTTATTTATTCATAAACGTTTTCCATTACCTAATTCTAACTTAATATATCGTTTTTATTTATACAGCTAAAATAGTTCTTGTAAATTATGGGCGTATTTTAAAATGTTTTTTGTTGTTCTTGTTTTGAATATTTTTGTTTGTTTTTGCTTTTAGAGTGTTTATAATATTAGATTCAGTTTTACATTTGCTATGCTAAAATGTATTTTTTTTTTTTTGTAATGTTTTTTAATTTTTGTTTTTTATATATTTCAGTATTTCGATTTCCATTTAAATTTTCTGTGCATTTTGCCAACTAACTCACTTGGTGAAATTAAAACTAAATTATTTGCTATATACGCAACTGTGAGTGTGTATTTTTTACAGCTATGATTTCCTATATGCTATATATTTATTTCATTTACAGTAATCAGTAGTGTGCTTAAATGATTGCTTCTGCATTTCTCTCAGCTCAATGCAGTTTATTAATTCTGTTTTCCTTTTGCTACTCGATTTTAACTCTTACAACATTCGAAATTTGCTTTTCATTTTCTGTTCAACTTTTCACCTTCATCGCTATTTGTTTCCATCTTGAATTCCTTTATGTACACAGAAAATATTTTGAAAATGTGAGAGAATTTCTACTTACTGAGAAGAACTAAGAAGTGCAAAAGTGTAAAGCAAAACAATGTAGTTATGCGTATATGGAAGTAACTGAAAGTTATGAAATTTATAAATTCAAAAGTAAGCAAAATATTAATATTTTTGGCTGACTGCAAATCTATTTTGTTATACAATTTTGACAGATAAAAATAAAGTTAATGTTAAATAAAATTAATGGTTTTTTGTAGCCAAATATTTTGTTTAGTTTAATATTAAGAGAAGGTATTTTTTTTAGTGATTTTTAGCTTTTTTAGGCATTAATGATTTTTCGCTTTTTAAGTATTAAGAAGTAACTGAAAATTTTGTAGTTGTTGATTAATTGTAAACTTAAGATCAATAAAATGAACCAATTAATATTTAATTTCATTTATTCTATATTTGTGTGCAATGAGTTTCAAATAAATTGTATATTGCTTTACAGTACAAATACAAATAAATATATTGCTTATGTAAAAAAAAAAAAATGTCAATGAATTTATATCAATTAATTTTTTTTAATTATTTTAATTTTTTTAATGCATATTATTTAAAGCAGGATTTACTAAAAAAAAAATAAAAAAAAAATAAAAAAAATTAGTTATCCTTTTATAATTTTTGAAAATCATTTAAAGCTTTTATGCATGAATCCTTCACTTTGCCATTATGAACACTCGCTGTTGCCATACCCAAAGTGGAGTATTTAAAGATTAGTTTTGTTAAAATTAAGCAGTTCTTAGTGTCTACTTAATATATGCTTTAGTCCTACTTATTTACGATACCTACGCTGCTCTGTTACCCGGAAATACCTGTGCTAGTTGAGTGCCAGTACACCTTGCTTGTCGTATTGATATAAGATGAGATGGTCACACACCAATAAAAAAATTAAAAAAAAATAGGAAAGGGGAAAGAAGAGAAACAAGCTTTATGTCAAAGTCGAATAACAAACACATTAAATTATTTAAATGCAGCCTGGCGCTGCTGTGTCCCAAATTAAAATTTCATAAACTAGAGCAGAATGCCAAAGGGATGCCCAAACCCTCAATGCCACTCGCGATTCGGTCGGAGCACTTGGCACTCCAGCTAAGACGCTGTATCGCCCGTCCACTTGAGCCCGTTCCCCACGCACGAAATCCTTTGTGTCGTTGAGCAGGTGTCGCCTTGCCAACACACAGCGCCTGGAGCCACTTGAGTGTGGAGCACGCTGAGTTGCCTCCTGCCCGGGCAGCGGCAATGGTTGCCAGCATGTGACATGTGGGCACCGCCGAGTCAATTGTCAGCTAACAACGCCGCCAAAAGCAACTCAATCGGCAGGAAAACAAACCAACAAAAGCCCCACAAAACAGTGACAAAATGTAGGCATAGGCCTGGTCTGGGCCGGCCTGGAAATTCTCCTGCCTTGCTGCTTGTTTTTAGGCATTTTTTCTTTCGCTCAGCTTTTTTATGGCTTGAGTGAGCGAAAAAGAAGACCGAGAGCAGACGGAGAAAGAGAGAGCGAGCGAGCAAGACGCTGAAAAGTTTATATTAAATGAAAAACTTTTTCAATTACATCAACGGAAATAAAATGCTGCCAGCTTGCCACTCGAGGCACGCATAGGCACGACAGCAAAGAAAAAGGAGTCTGCCCCAACAACAGCCACAACAGCAACAACAACTACGACGACAACAATAACAACTGCCAAAGATGAAGTCAGAGCTAGGGACGAAGCTCTAGTCTTTTGTTTAGCTGCGCGTCTTTGTTTTTCGGCTTTATTAGGTTAGGCCAGCACTCTGCCCTTTTGCCATACCCTTTGCAGTGGGCCCAGACAACTTTGTCAACAACTTTGAGCTGGCCCAGGAGGCAAAATATATATATATATATATATATATGAGGTCATCTGGATTAGCCTTCAATTTGCATTTGTCGATGTGGTGCTGCAGCAAATGGGTTTCTAATTGAACTAAAAATCCATTTCGGCAACAATATGCAAATCGAGCAGGAGAAGAAAATATTTAATTGCGCTAGTTTTTTGCTTTTCGATTCTGATCTCTGTTAGGGCATGTTTCATTCGGTTTTGCTAAGTTCTGTTCGCATTTTCTATTTTTTCATTTTTCTTCTTCTTGGGTTTGGGGTGTGGGTTATTCTGGTCTTTTGTTTGCTTGCTGTGGGCAACAAAGGATACGGATACACGTATACGAACACAAGCCTAATTCTATTTCTGTGCGAGTATGTGTGTGGGTGTGTCTCTGTCTGTGTGTGTGGGTGTATATGTGTGTGTGTGTGTCTGTGTGTGTTTACAGAGCCACAGAATCGTCTAAGGCAGCATCCTGGCCGGCAGCAGCGCCGCGTTGTCAAATGTCGCTCGTCTCCTGCGCATCACCCACATAGCCCTCGTCCGGGCTGTCCGCCAGGGGACCATTCAGCTGCTTTAGCTTCGCTGCGTCCGTCGCCTCGGCGCTGCTGCTGGCCGCGCACTCGGCCTCGGCCATGGCTGCATTCGAGCCGCTGGGCGACGTCTCAGTCTCGTCCAGCTCGGGTATGGTGGTGTTGCTCTCCAGCGTGGGCGCGGGCGTTGCTGCTGCTGCTGCTCCTGTTGCTGTTGTCGCTGCTGCTCCTGCTCCTGCTCCTGCTGCTGCTGCTGCTGTTAGCACGGGCGATGGCTGACCGAGGCCGTAGCGCAGCGGCTGCGCATGATAGCCGGGCAAGCAGCTGGGCCACTGCTGAAAGGCTGGCAGCGGCAGATCGCTGCTCTTGTAGCCCTCGGGCGGCGAGGGGAACTGCTGCTGCTGCTGTTGCTGCAGCTGCAACTGTTGCTGCGGATAGCCCTCGGCCGTGAAGCGCACATTCGGCAGCTGATACTTCTCGTAGGCTACGGCGGGCGCGCGCTGCACAAACTCCGCCTCCATGCTGTACCGAAGGCTGGCATTCTGTGCGGCTGCAAATTGCTGCTGCTGCTGCTGCTGCTTATGGGCGCGATTATGGGGCAGTGTGCGGTAAAAGTTCTGCTGCTGCTGTTGCTGCTGTTGCTGTTGCTGCTGCTGCTGGTGGTGCTGCGGTGCCGCGGCCACCTGCTGCACCAGATGCGCACTGCTGTAGTCGTAGGCATAGCCATCCTGGCCCAAAAAGCAAACCGGATTCAGGTGCACATCCACCTGATGCGGCGATGTGGCTGCCGCCGCAGCTGACGCCGAGCTCAGCACCGACTTCAGTTGCATGCCGCGCGGCAGCGTTGTCATCGCGGCAGCGAACCGCGAGCCCATGCCACCCAGCATGGCATGGGCGTGGGCATGGGCATGGGGCGAGGCCGCCGTCAGCTGATAGCAGCCCTCGTACTGTCCGCAATCGCTGGCCGTTTCGTAGTCCGCGGCGCCGTCGAGCGAGACGGCCGTCTTCAGCTTGTGCTTGACACTTTCCGCATCGTTGACCAGGTCGGGATTCTTTTCCGGGTAGTTGCGCAGCGATGCTGGCGGCGAGCAATAGGCGGCGGCCAGGCCGTTGCTCAGCAGCAGTGGCGGCGAGCCGGCAGCGGCAGCTGCTGCTGCTGCGGCATTCATCATATTGACGTTCAGCTGCAGCTGTTGCTGCTGCTGCTGTTGATGTTGCTGCTGCTGCTGGTGCTGCTGGTGCTGCTGCTGCTGCGAGTGCGTGTTGGGCGTGGCGTACAGCAACAGATTCTGCTTCATTTGACCGCCCAGAATGAGTCCGCCGGCGCTGCCGACACCAATGGTGCCGGGTCCGCCGGCGCTGCCATTGCCGGCCTTGGTGGGCGTGAGATTGTCGGCGAGCATGAGGCCGGCGCCGCCATTGAGGCTGTCGCCGTCGTTCAGTATGGAGGCGCACTTCATCATGCCGGTGTCCTGGCTGCTGCCGTTCGTCGAGTCCGTGGCGCCGGCAATGCTCGTCACCTGGTCGCACTTCTTGCGCTTGGCCGGCTCGGCGCTGCGCTTGCACTTGACCACAATCGTGCAGAGCAGGACGACGAAGATGATGGCGCCGCCGGCGCTGCTGGCCACGATGTAGTTCATGTAGTCGCGCGGAAAGGACACCTCATTCACCACCGGCGGCTCCTTGATGATCACGCGCAGCGTGTAGTTGCTGAACGTCGTCCCGGCAATGTTCTGGCCCACGCAGGAGAAGGTGCCATTGTCCTCGGCGCCCACGTTGTAAATGAAGATCTCGCTGCGCTTCTCCTCGGCGCCGCTGCCGCCGCTCTCGTCAATGTAGTAGTACATGTGGAGATTGTCCAGCAGGCTGTCGTTGCTCATCACCTGGCCGTTGAAGAGCCACAGCACCTTCGGCTCGGGTATGGCGCGCACCAGGCACGTGATGGACATGTTCCGGCCCTCGCTCACCTCCGTGTAGCTCGACTGCGGACTCACCTCGGGCAGGCAGGCGAGCTGCTGCCGCTGCAGTCCCTTGATCGGCTGGCCCTTCAGCCGTGCCGGCTCCATGCACTTGGGCTCCTCGGCCAGCGGCGTATTGTGGCTGACCAGCCAGCCGTAGACGTCGAGCAGGCGGCAGTCGCAGTTCCAGCGATTGCTGTGCAAGCTGATCCCGTGCAGAGATTTGGGCAGAATGTGTGCGCCCTGAATAAAGGCGATGCGATTGCCGTCGAGGCGCAGCCACTCGAGGTTGTCCATGCCCACGAAGGCCTCGTTCTCGATGCGCTCCACCTGGCAGTTGGACAGCTCCAGTGTGGTCAGGAAGGACAGGTGGCGGAACGCCGATGTCTTCAGCTCCCGTATGGGATTGCCGCTGAGCGAGAGCCGCATCAGCGAGCTGTAGTCCTGAAAGGTCTCGCTGGGCACATGCTGCAGCGCATTCTCACTGAGGTCCAGCTCCACCAGATTGGTCAGGCCGCGGAAGGCCTTCTCGTGTATGCGTATCAGTTGGTTGCGCGACAAGTAGATCTTCTGCAGATTGAGCAGATCCATGCGCAGGAAGCGCTCGCTCTGCAGCACCTGCAGCCCGTTGCCGCTGAAGTTGAGCACCTGTGTGCCCGGATCCATGCCCTCCGGCAGCGCGGACAGCTGCTGTCCGCCGCACTCGACTGTCTGCTTGCCGCCCTTCCACTTGCAGACGCACACTTCCGGCGGACAGGCGACGATGCAGTGCAGCAGCAGCAGCAGCACCACCAGCAGCTGGGGCAATATTAATTGCAGTAGGCGTGGCATTTTCTTATACACTCCTCTATTGAATCGGCTTTGTCTTGGCTTTCGCTTCTATTTGGAGTCTATGTGCGACACTTGGTCACGTTTGCATGTCAAATTAGTAAATGAAGGTGACGTTTTTCGAGCTCCTCGTTCTCTTGCTCTTGCTCTTCCTCTTCCTCTTCCGCGTCACGCAAATAACATTAGCGCAGTCGCTGGAATATAACGTTGATCTAGCTACAGCGAGAGCTACAGCTACAGCGTCTGCTTTAGCCACTCAGTCGCTGTCGTCTCGACTTGGCAGCAGAATCACGTTGCCTACTCGAGTGTCAGGCAATAAAAAAAGCGTTTCCCGCTAGCCCGTTGCTGCTTCTGCTGCGTCTGCTGCTGCTGCTGCTGCTGCTCGTGAGGCTGGGCCGCCATTATAATCAGAGTGCGAGTGCTCATCATTGTGTCCACGTCCACGTTGCTGTCATTGCAGACTCCAGCTCGCACTCTGCCTCTCCCTTTCTCTGTCACTCTCGCTCTATCTCTAGCTGGCGTCTTTTGTATTAATTTCATAAAAATGCCAGTCGCTTGATTTTTGCTTGGCAGCGCCTGTAAGTAGGCAATGCTTTTGTTAGTGCCGCCTCTTGGGTCCTGCGGCTTTGCTCCGCTTTGCTTTTACTCAACTTTATTCTACTTTAGCGCTCTTCTCCTTTGCTGCCTTAGCCCTTCGCATTATAGCCGTTGACTGAAAAGGTTTTTGTCCTTAATGAAATTATAACGCAATTCACTTGCTGTTGTTGTTGCTGTTGTCTCTGCGGCTGCGGCTGTGGCTGCTGTTCTTATTGTTGCTGTTGCTGCTATTGCTGCTGCTGTCGTTGTTGCTGTTGTTGTCGATGCCTTGCCGCATGCTTCGCATTGTGTATGCGACACGTGTACTGATTTATGCTATTGTTTTCGTTGCTCTGCCGCTGGTTAGCGTTGGGTTTTACCGTTAAGCGCTGCAAGTAAACGGAGGCAAGCAAAGTAAACGTTAGTTTTTATAGCCAGTTTTTAATTAAGCTCAAATATTTGCTTCAAAATTCAGTAAAAATATTCCATTATAATTATCTATATACAAATAAATATAAACATAAATATGTGTAAATAAATATGCATATTTCTTGTTGACTAATATATATGTCTTATAAAATATATAAAGTCTTATGAATTGGATATTTGTATTTAC